TTCATTCATTTATTTTATGAAAGATTTATAGAATAATGGCTGACTTTTTGCCAGACTTCGACTTTGTGGAGGAGGAATTTGATTTTGCAGAGTTTGATGGCCGCCCTTATTTGTTTGAGCCAGAATACACTGACCAAGAGCTTCGTGAAATTGAAGAACGGAGGAGGAGAGAGAGAGAGAGAGGCACAACAGGTAGAGGACGACAGAGGAGGAATGGCTGCTGGAAGGATTTAGCTCTGGAGATCAGTGGTGTAACGTTACCTGTGAATGCTGTATCCCAATGCCCACAGAAGAGGAATGCCTCTGTTGCAAGGAATGGGACCGGTTGCAGCCTTAGCTAAATGGTAAACAACAAACATGGCACCACACCGGTAAGGTAAGACAACACGTTTACATGTTGTTTTCTGTATGTTCTCTGACATTTATCCTAACGATATGAGGCGGTCTTTGTGGAGAAAAAGCTTGTTTAGTGGACTAACTTTGCACTTGAAAGGATGCCCGTTCTATTAAGTTTTAACAGGTCTGATGCTACGGCTGTATGTAGGCTAACGGCTAACATGCTAACTATTATTTCTATGTCACTAGTGACTTGAAACAAATTTAGGACGATCGGAGACGGGTTGAAATAAACTGAAATTTCCCTTTAAGGCATGTAGGCTATTCAGTAATCTGGAGTGGAATATGCTTAAAAGTAACCCTCCCAACACTAACTATGTCGATCATTGGCCAACCTCATGTTGCACTTTCTAAAATCAGCAGCAAATGGATAATATACATTCACTGGAAGAGAAGTAAATTAAGAATATCATATAAAAAAAACATGGAGGTAATGCTGTAACCGAGTCTGATGTTTTGTTTGGAAGATGAAACTACTGGATTGACATTTCTGCACTTAAAAAAAGGACATTTTTATACGCCACAGGAAGAAAAGCACAGGTGCAAATAATAAAATTTATGATGGCTGAATTCCATTTAGCTGCTGCAGTTTCAGGGTCCTGGTGTAGTGCATGCAGGCTCACTGTCACAGTTTACTGGGGCGCTAATAGATCAGAGCTGTCTCTAATATCACCAGTAACACCCGCAATTTGTGTGTGTGAGGGATGAGATGATGAAACTGGTGCACGTAGAGATATTTTGGCAGTGATATGAGTGTGTGGAGCACACTGAGCATACAGTGGAGAAGCTGCAGGAGTGGAGAAGAAGTATTTGGGTGGTATTGATCAGTGTTGCAGCAGGGGAGAGCATTTCAACGATTGATATCCAAAACCTGAGATGTTACTGAGCAGATACATTTTTGGGACCTGACAGCCTAATGTATGGTTGCAGCAGAGATAAAACATGTGATGTAGTGTCTTTATGTGTGGGAGGGTGGGTGAGATAGGCTCAGAGGTTGGAGCGGTAGGTGTCCTTAGACTTGGCCTCCATCAGGCATCATGACGTGCCCGACCCCTGGCCTCAGGGTCGCAGGCCAGACTTCTCCTTTCCCGCGATGAGCTGTTATCTGACCTCAGGGCCAGTCAGTCAGGCTAGAAGAGTGTGTTTCTCAGCGTGTGTTTCTTTGTGTGCATGTGTGTGTGAACCTCAGCACCCTGTGATCTGATTTACCCTGACAAGGCAACAGGACAGAACAATAAAAAATGTCTATTTTCTCTCTCTCTCGTTCGCTGTCTCCCTCTGCACGCTTCAGGCTAAATGGGGGAGATGATTAAACAGAACAAACCCACTGGAGGAATGACATTCCCAAAGAGTAATTTTTGGAGCCTAAATCCCTCTTTTGTGTGTTATACTTATAATAATACATCAGGAACAGTTTGGTGCCATTTGTCTCAGAGAGCTGCAGCAAGATTTGACACAAGACCAAAGCATTTCTGTACATGTGAGTGGATGTTTATGATCTCAAAGAAGTATTTCACTGCTGGCAAGATGGTCTTTTCATAAAACTGGGCTGTCTGTGCAGCAGACAGATGCAAAGACTTTTGAAATTTGTGCAACGTGACCAGAGAAAACAGAGAAAAAGGGGCTGTGGTAGAAAACCTACAACTACCACAATGCCTTGCGCCACACTGGAGCAATAAACACTTTTGCTAGTAGGTGACATATGCAAGGAAATACAGCAAACACTATGCAGAATTCAGATGAAGGGGCTAAGCATAACATTTATATGGATACCGGCTCATGTAGGAATCAGTGGAAATTAAATAGCTGACGTGTGCAAAGGAGGCAACAAGAATTAACTATATTGACATACCAGTTCCTTCAGGTAAAACAGAAAAATGATGCAAAATATGATGTTGTCAGAAGGGAATTTATATTGAACCATAAAGAAATTAAGTTAAATTTTGATTTAAGAGATATTTTACAGGGAAGGTCAGGTGAGGAATGTAATCAAGCATTGTTACAGTATCATAGGAGAATGAATCTGATCGAGAGAACATGATTTATTTAATTTATTTGTCTAAATTGATCTATATTAGGATTTTTTCCCTTGTTATCGGAGTTGGTACATTTAGGGTAGATTGCCAATCCACACTCCATACCAGTTGGTGGCGGTAATGCACCATAACCGCCATAAGATGCCAAGCAGAAAAAGAAGAAGAAGAAGAAGAAGAAGAAGAAGACTACCGAGCTTGGCTTTTCTACACAGAAAACAAAATGGCGGCTGGCAGTTAAAGAACAATTTTGAGTTACAGTTAAAGGGTAAGCAAAGTATGTTTCTGTAAACATTTAGGCAGCTCAGTAACCGAATTTTTCTTCATATTTAATCAACAGTGTTTAGTTTTATTGTTTCATCTCAGTATTTTCAGCCTCTATTCTTACAATACAGGAAACCGGAAACGATATGGCGCCTGCTTGTTGTTCGTATTACAGACAAACAGTTCACTTTAATATGTTTCTGAAGACATTTTAAGCTAGAAATATACAGTACAGTAACTGAATCTTGGTTTATATTTGACCAGCGACGCCTAGTTTTACAGTTTGATTTCAGTTTGAGAGAGAAGGAGAGGGGCGACTGTCTCTGAAATGCTTTTATAACGTTACTCTGTGTCTGTGATGGTGGCATATGAAAATGTTGAAGTGCAATCTGTAGTTTGAGGAACAGCTTTAGAGCCAGCAGGATGAGCTGGAAGATGAACAGGGAGATCTGGGTGATGGTGAGGTAGAGGGACGTTTACTACAATTCATTTACACTCAGTAGTTGGATAGGCTCCCAGTTCTTGTTGTGCTAACCTCTTAAAATCCTGAGGTGACTTTTGTCTCTTTTAGCATTGATTTGTGTCTTGTGTATTATCAGTATATTCAAGTCACTGAGCTAAGCTTTAGTTTTTCTTCAAACTAAATATTTTTTTTTTAAACCAAGGAGGGTTTAAAGTTTAACAAAGCTTACTGATGTTCTGAGGGTATTTCTAGAAAAAAATATATACTCTACCGTAAATCTGTTGTGCTGTAAATGTACAGCAGAGAAAGTATTTTTCTATGCAAATAGACAGAAGATTCTCTTAGGATTCTAGAGCCATGATAGCAGCATAGCACCAGGGACGGCAATATCAGTCTCTCAGTCCAGCACTATAGTCCAGATCTTGTGCCATCATCAGGTCAATTTTTTTATTATTATTTTTTGTACACAACAACTAAAGTGAAAGTTAAAAACAACTCCAGATTCACTCTTGCTTTAGAACGACCTTTGTTGACTTGGCAGTTTGTCTCGTTATATGTGTTATTCTGTGCTGGTTCCACGACTGAAGTCGTTGAAATCCGGCCCTTGGGGAGTAACTTTCGGCGTCAGACACTGCTGAAAAAAGCTGACCTTTCAAGTCGGCATAATACTTCGCCGGTTTCTGTTATAGTTAAACAGCGCTCGTTGGCGTCACGGTCGAACAAGAACAAGAGTTAAGGTGGTGAAAGTCAGCAACCACCGACTTTCATCTGGGAGGGCAGTGTTCGCTTCTGGTAAGATGGCAAAGCCAAACCCTGTTCTTATCGTCACATATTGACATTTGGTCATGGTCCACGTCCACATATGATGTGAAAGGTACCCTGGGTGTGTTGGTTGTTGACATTCTGTTGACGTGTCAAGTTCTGCCTGTTACAGGCATTGTCTTCTTTCAAGATACGCTTCCCTTTTCACATGACATGTAACATTTGCATACAGTCTCTTTCAAAATACATGCACTATGTCAGTACAACAATGCGAATTGACTTTTTTTCCCCTTCAGCAACAAACACGTGGTGGGTTTAGCAAAAAAGAACCGGGTTTGACTTCAGAATCTTATGGGACACAAACACCGTTTTCTTAGGTGAAAGTCGATGTTTGTTGGACCCATCCACACCACTTGGATTTTCGGCGCCTTAATTTTGGTCCTTGTTCCACCGCGTTTCCCCCTGACACCGCCAGGCTTTGTTAAACTATAACGGCACCCGGCTGTGTATCATGCTGACTTTAGAGGACGCCTTTTTTTCATTGGTTTCTGATGCCGCAAATCACTGCCCAAGCGCCGGATTTTAACGACTTCGGAGTGAGACCAGGCTCTTATAAATGATATATGATGATGATGAATAGCTCAAACTGGTGAAATGTCACTTTGTGCTTTTATTACGTTTGTTTTAATATTGTGTTAAATTGCATGTTATCTAGCCTATATTTATTCAACCGTAACCTGAACTTGGTTTTGTCTTTTGTAAAGCACTTAATAGGTTGTTTTTAAATTATAATTTATTTTTCTCTCCTCCAGGCTCAAAATGCCGTGATCTTCCTCACTCCTGGTTTTTCCGCCTCCAAAATCTGTGTTTTCAGTCTCTTCGTTTTTCTTCCTGCCCGGCAGTTTAAAGAGACTCCCTAAGCCGTACGCCCGGCAGCCCACTGAATTGTGAATCCAAACAGCCGGAGCAGCAGCAGATAGACAGTGACTGAGAAACGGGAGGGAGGGGGGGTAGTGAGAGATAAAGAGTGAGAGAGCTGGGAGAGAGCAGGGAGAGAGAGAGAGAGAGAGAGAGAGAGAGAGAGAGAGAGAGAGAGAGAGATGAAAAGCATGCTAAGCGAGAGAGAGGCGCTCACACTGAAGGAGGCAGAGGCAACAGCTACAGCAACAGCACGCTCCTTCCCCATCCTCCCTCTCTTCTCTCATAATCCCACATCCACGCCGGGGGAGATGGAGGGCGCCCTGACCCGCTGAGGAGCTCTGTCTGAAGGAGAGGACAATTTCACATGAGCCCCCCCCCTCCTGTGAGCGCCCAGATCATATTTTTGGGACAATAACCAACAAGGAGTGAAAGGAGGTGTGTACACAAACGAGCCTGCCGGCGGGAGGGAGGGAGGGCGCAGGAGAGAAAAGAGGGGGATGAGTGGCAGGTTCGGTACAGCTGCTGATGCCAGGGTCTGAGAGTGAGACAGACTGAGGAACGGAGGGCTGGCACGTGTGGAGCGGGGTCGGCAACTTGTGGGCCAAGAGGATAGGAAAATAGATTCACATACGCACACAGCTGGACAGATGAGGAGGCATCAGGGACCACGCTTCAGTCCTGGGTATGTCCACATACACTACACACACTCGTACACACACGCGTTTATCCTCAATGGTGGCTGTGTTTTTACCAATAGAGCTCGGAAACACTTGAAACGCAACAGTGCGTGTTTGCAGATCTTTGGGGTTGACGACTACCCACCCTGACAAGTCTCCCTACTTGCCCTCAGATACTTGCAGCAAAGGAGAGAGGATGAGGAGGAGAGATTATGTGTGTGTCTCTCTGAGTGTGCGTGGTCATGCTTTACCATCTACATCCTGTTATTACATTATTGTATAGCACTGGAGGCATTTCGTAATGGGTTTCGTAAGCTGTCAGAGTGATGCATGTAAATAAACCTCCACTGGTGGAATGTTGCCATGTCTCACGTCACCGGAAAAATTAAACAATCACTCTAAACACTTGTTTGTGTGGCTGTAACATTGCTCATGACATTAACTTTGTGCATGAGTTATTTGTGGTCATAAATTGCGCACGACAAGAAAAATCTGAGAGGCGTAACTTGTGTAGCTGCTGAAGCCGGGACTTGTTTGTGCACTCTGGTCAGAGACATGTATAGCTCTGCTTACCCACTGCAGGAGGCCATGTGCAGTAACATGACATGTGTGGCCATGTGTTATGTCACGTTGTGACAGAGTGCATATGGCTTATGACAGCAGGTTTGCATGAGGTGTATCAGCCAGCCGCTCCTATTTCTCTCCATCTAAACCCCCCCCCCCCCCCCCCCCCCCCCCCCCCCCCCCCCCCCCCCCCCCCCCTTCCACCATCTTCCTCCTTTCTCTGTTTCCAATTATAGGCTGTCACCTCTCTTGCTTTCCTCCTGATCCTATCTCCTGTTTCATTCTCTTGCTGAGCAATTACCTTTACCTGACTCTGCCCCTCCGGACAGCATGGCTGGTTAGTTTTCTGTCCGCCTTTTCAACAATCAAAGTGAAGGATGGTTGGTGATTTCGTGGCCGTTTTCTTTACCCCAACCTGAGCAAAGAGCGACCTCCATGACGCCTAAACACAGCAGCCACTTCATATTATTGCTGCTCTTGTAGATCTAGAAATGATATGTAAATAGGAAATAGCTGTGGGGGCTTTTCAGTGTGCGGAAGAATTATGCCTCTAATCATGCAATCAGCTCATTATTTCCCGCTCCTCATTAACTTGTTTGGGTTTCTAACTTTATCGCTGTTCGCAGTCTCGTCTTCCCTAAAAACAAAACAAAACAAAAAAAACCCTCACCCAGACAGAGCTGGCGGGCACATTGCTCCCAGCATATGGACAAACTTGCTGTTGGTGTCTGAGAGAGGAAAGACTTGCCAGAGAGCTCAAACCCCTCCAATCACAACTTTTCTTTCCTGCTGATTCCTTTCACTCCTGTATCTAAAACCCCCTGCCTTTCAAGCCTCCTCTGTTCCCTTTTCCTCTGTCTTCTTTCCTTAATCATCTCTGATGATGATCCCACTTTATAAACTCTCTACTACAACAGTACAACTCACGCAGCAACGGACATATTTACATAAACACAACCCCACACTCCCACACACCAGTATAACCCTTTTAGCGCAGCAGTGTGACAGCTACCTGAAGGATAGCATCACTGTCCTTTCTGCTGCCAAGCCTGTAAAATTGAGTGAAAGGACAGAATGGAGGTAGAAATAAGGCACTGAAGAATCACTGATGAGACGGATAAGGCGAGGGGGACATAATTAACAGAAAGAGGGAGACTGGAATAGAGACATTAAAAGGAAATCGAGGCGATAATGCAATAAGGTGAAGAGTCATAGAAAAAGAAAGAGTTCAGACGGTGACTGAAAAATGGGAGAATGTGGTGAAAATGTTTGGCCTCTGCGTCGACAGGTGCTGATTGCTGATGTCTTTTTCCCGTAAATGGACACAGCGACAAAGTGATAGTTTTTAGCCACCCTTGGGGAAAGATGGTGGAGAGAGACGGAGAGAGAGGGAGAGACGCTGATCACCAAAGGAAGCAGAGGGTGTTTGATTTATTTATAAAAACATTTCGCTCGAAGGAAAATTCTGCCTTCTTACAAGTTGGGTCATTTGTTATAGTTTTGGCTATTATTCCTGTCAGTTATGATGATGTTTTATTCACATGGGGGAGTAACAGGAGAGGTCAGACCGTAACACAGTTGGCAAACCAGCCAATATGTTAGTCAGATTAACTTAATTTGGATGTAAAACTGCAGGTGAGCACACTCAAAATGTTGGTAATAACCCCTCACGGGGAAACTGTGTGCAGACAGGTCCCGCCGGTACAATGCAGTCAGAATACTGGTCCATGTTTTTACAATTATTTCACCTTTTTTTGTTTTGTAGCGTGGCTCTTTTCATGTGATACTAAGAGAGCTTTACACAGGCTGAATTCAAAAACAGCCCTGGCACAGCCTGAGACACACATTTGTTAAGCATAAAAATATTTAAAGTTGCTCTGATCAATATTTTTATATTAATGTATGAAGTAACTATGTGTAAAATAAAAGGTGTCACTGGCAGCGATGAAACCACAGAGAATTATCCCCCCTTAACCAAGTGTTTTAGCGTCTTTCTGAACACTGTTTGGTTTTACGGCCCACACACAGTTGTGATTCCTTGCACAGCTTCACCTACTTTCAAGGTCAGTGTTGTGAATGAACACACTTAAGGAGAGCATTTGTTGAACATGCTGATATTTTTGTTGAACAGTGAATTGAACACATCAGTTTTTAACTTATGAACATGACCATGAGCATTGTTCACTCTCTCGACAGTTAACAATGCTCATTTTATATCACCTGAGGATTTAGGGCACCTGGCATGGTTAGTACTAATGGCACTTCTGACAGCACAGCTACAGGTACCACTGGAGCCAGTTCACATGGATATTTGATGGACTTTTATGCAGAAAAAAGAACAGATTCCAGTGGAAGAATATTACATTCATGCAACTGTTCCTGCTAGTTCTGGAAAAAAAAAAAGTTTGAAATTTGAAGCGACACATCGAGCTGAAGCATCCGACCAGTTTTGGGAAATTTCTGTGAGCAAATGATGATCACAAGATTTTATTTTACTTTCAAAAAAACAGAAGGCATGAACAAAAACAACCCATCGTCATCCCAGCTTGTCAGATACCGGCGTTGGGCAGTGACATGCAGTGTCAGAAACCAGCGAAAAAAGGCGTTCTCTAACGTCGGCATGATACGCAGCCGGTGCTAGGTAGCCTTTTGTCCGTGAACGTCCAAAAGTGACACAACTGATGCTTGTTACATGCATTGTGTCTTTTCAAATTACACTTCCGTTTTCAAAGGAAATGTAAAGTGTCTGCTCATTACAGGCTTACAGTCTTTTTAAAAAAAACAGACATTTGAAAGACTTCACTTTTAGGTTTATTCCTTAAGTTTAGGCAAAAAAAGGATGTGGTTAGATTCAGAAAAAAAGTCATGGTTTGGCTTAAAATAAGTTCAGGCCTTACTAACGTAATGTCATGTCATGTGACATGTGTCACTAATGTAGCATCTCACACATACTAGAACACGATACTGATACTGTTCTGGTGTTTAATGACCCGTCCACCTCCCTTCCCACCTGCCCTTTACGGACTTTCTCACTCTTTATACTTTGGCAGTTGCTACAGGCTTCATGAGTAGACACCACCCAGTGTGTATCATACCACCTCGAAGAGCGTCTCTGTGCATTGGTGTCTGACAAAGACATCCACTGAACAAGTACTTGACAAGTTCGCAGCCCTCTGCATATTACACTGCCACTGTGTGTTGGTATCTGATGCAGAGTTTACTGACAAAGCGGCAGTATTTGATGAGTTGGGACTTCAGACTTAGTCCAAAATTCAAATACTGAAATATTAACGCAAACTAGTTGATTTAAATCCGTTGAGGTTGCTCTTGTGAAGTGTGAATGTGCACAACACTGTTCAAAGTGCATGGAGAAGAAAAAAAGTCAGAAGAGGTCAAAACTCCAGCAACACTTGTGAGACCAACGTGGTTCAGCTTATGGCCTTCTTCAAGGTCATTTTGGTCTGCAGCTTTAATGATTTGGTTCATTTTCACGGCTCATATCAACCTCATTTTCGTCCGTTTTCAGTGGCAAACCTCTAAAAATAAAACAACTGAACACTTACTGCTCGGCACCAGATAGCTGGCGGACAATGTTAGTGACTAGCTGGTGAGCACAGTGGAGAATTCAGCAGCTAAAGAGCCCAATATTTTCCTCAGGAGTTTGTGTAGATCAACAGAACTCAAAGGATTGGACTTGCATATGTAAACACAGCTCCAAATATTGTTGCTTCACGTCTGCTCGATATGTAAATAAGCAACTAACACATTCGCGCAACAACCTAATATGGGAATGTTGTGTTAACAGCTTGTTGGATCATAAATCAATTACTTCAGTTTTAAGGTAGATTCAGAGTTCATGTGCACATATGCAGGATCAGGCAGTTAGCAGTAAGAATGCAAAGCTCTGCGTTGTTGTGCTGTTTATGTTTAGAGGTGCACTAACCAAACCGCTGCGTGTCAGACAGGTCATGGACATTTATGATTTCACAGTATATGGAACATATGACTCATCCAATACATTGAACCACGAAGTCCAGACAGTTCGGGCATAAATCTCAGAGTTTGCCTTCTTTTTCTCTTCCAAATGTATATTTATAACGTGGGAGTTTGTTTAAAACCTATAGCAGCTAAGCCCTGCATCAAGAGCACAAACATCTCCACCATGTTAATTCCATTCAAAACCTGTTTGATCATCTGAGTGCTCGGGATTCTTGCCCTGTCTGACTTCTTTGAAGCAATATTAAATTGCTGAGTTCAGTTTTATTATAACCGAAAGGAATAATGGTCAGAGCTATGAAAATAAGACAGGTTGTGCGAAACCAGAATTTCCCTTAAAGGCTTAAACGCCTCAGCAGAATGAGGAGTTCAGGAACCATGGGAGTTCCTAAAACACAGAAGGTTAAGACCTCAGGGAGAAAAATGAGAGCGTGATGTTTCTGCT